CAATTATAATTTAATAATTTAATAACTTAAAACTATTTTAAAATAGGTGATTTACAAGAACAAAACATTGATCAAATGCAAAAAATTGATCAAATGCAAGAAATTGATCAAATAAAAGAAGTTGACCAAATTCCAGCAACATTTAATAATATGAATGATGTCTTAGAAGTGTGTAATTGGCTAATTAAGCATCCACATATATTAAAATTAGCCAGCCAGATGCATATAGCCTCTTTATTACCAGTTACACATGCAAGTGAATTTGGTGAACCTTCTAATTCCTTAGCTATGAGTTCTGCAAATACTATTGATAATAGGGTATATCATATTTTTATAATAATAATTTAGAAAGAATACTATAATTTACACAAAGTTTTTGTTATTTGCATTATAGAAATACAAAATTATCTTAATTATAGATTTAATTTATATGTTTCTATGATGTGAATAACAAAAATTTGTGTAAATTATAGTATTTTTTATTTTTTAAAAAAATAACTAGTTTTTTTTAGAATAATGCTCATTTATGGGATGAAGAGACCAAATGTCTTTTCCTTCAAATGAGAAATCCTCCATCAACATGTATCGATGAATTTATTAAAAGGATTTTTGGATATTTACTATATTCAAATGAAGGAAAAGAAATTGAAGCCATAATAAAGAAGGCTCTGGGTGATTTTCGTCACAAATTAAATCTATCAGTTGTGAAACTTATTGATAATTTTAAAAAAACTCGAGAAAGGTATAAAAAAAATATATTTAATAATTAACTTAAATTCGAATTAACATTTTTTTTTTTAAAGAAGGCATAACTGTTACTTCATTATTAAATAAAGATATAAAAAAATTTATTGATGAAAATGTGGTATCAAATCTCCTAAAGCAATACATTTCAGGAACTAATAAATCTGAACTTAAAAGATGTAGATTATTGGAGAAATTGGTACATTTAATTCGTGAAATGTTTAGAATTCATTGGAGAGAAAAAAACATTGTCCAAGTTAAAAACTTGGATAATATAACTAAAAATATGCATATACCTTCTAAAAGTGGTCTAAACATTGCTAGCAAACTTAATATTAATTAATAGTTTATTAAAATTATAAAATTCGCTACTAAATATTAAATTAATCATGAAGTCTTTAAAAAAGTGAAAAGTCTTGACCAATCTTAAACTATAAGAATTATA